CGGCGGGCAGGTGAGTCCGGGCGTGAGCGGCGCGGTGTGGCAGCATGGTAGCAGCTTCCTTTAAAACGAGAGCAGGCGTTGCCGCTACTTTCTGCTGCTCCTGATGCCTGTCCAGCTTCTTGGTGCTGGTCCTGAGCGAGTCCAGCCCTCCGGCACGCTTTTCCCGCAAGAAGGCTCAGACTGTTCTGGGATGTTGCCTTATCTCTGGTACAACAACAATGCTACCGTAGAGAGGGGGAGAAGAGGAGGGTGGAAAAAGAACTTTTCCCTCTAATGATGCGTTAGTTTCAGTATGTTGATTCCAGTTTTCCCTCCCGCTAACTCTCCCTCATTTTCCTAGCCGCTGTAGCATTGTGCTGTTTGCGCTGTAGCTTGTACCTAAGAGCGCAGCCTGGGGTAGGTGCTTGCATCGCGTGCTCATGTGGAATCTATTTAAGACCCTTTGTGGGGCCTCATTCCAAACTATGTGCCCTTCAACCTAAACTCTGTAGCAGGAGTGAGTTTTTGAGAGAGCCATTTAGATTCTTGTAACACATGGGAAATTTTGGCAGCATTGCAAGTTGAGTGAAAAAAAGCTGGGGTTGTGTTGCTACATAAGGTACAGAAAGGGTTTGTGTGTACTTTGTCATCTTTTGTGTGTGTGTGTGTGTCGTACCTTGTGCTGATAAGGAAACTGAAGTTTGCAGAGCGGAGATATGTGGTAAATGCAGTCTGCTGGCTAAGCCAGGCGTTTTGGACTCGGATTCTGGAGGATGAGGGTCTGTGCTGTCCGGTACGTGAGGATGAATGGTCCCGGGGCGGCTCCCGGCGGGGGAAGCCGTGCTGCGGAGCGCTCTCCGGGCGGCGCCAGCCTCCCAGGTAAGTGCTGCTCGCTTGCGCCTTGCTCGGGCTTCACGCTGCAGTCAACCCTAGAAACAGCGCTGCAGAATCCCGTTATTTTTCCTTAAGGGATTTAAGAATATTTTTCTATGACCTAATCTTCAGGCAAAATGCCTATTCTTTAAAATTTAGCTTGTGGGCAGCCATGGCTCTAAAAGTTTTTGAGACTTCATGTATCTGTAGGGATTAGTCAGAGGAGTGTCTTTAAGGCAGCTGAGCAATTTATGTCAATCTCCCTTAAATGAGGTTTGGAATGCGTTATAGAATAAATTGATTCCCCTGAATAATTCTAATAAAAGAGAGGATCAGTTATCCCATCTGGGAGACTTCATTTCTGATTGTTACTGTATAAACCAACAGAAATCACATGAATATTCTTGGACACAGATGGTGATCATGTTATAAACGCCTTATTGTGAAATAGAGATTAGGATAAAAAGCAGTTGGAAGATTGAAATGAAGCTCTTGGATATAAATCCTCATCTGTTAGATTAGTGTCTTGCACTGGGTTTCAATTTGCAACAGTTAATGGTCTAAATAAACTAATTCAGCAGAACAGTCTCATAACAGCAAGGAATCTGAATTCCAAAATATATGTGGAACAGGTAGAAACCTGTCTCCAACAAGGACCTGGTGATTGCCTCAATAATAGCACAGGTAATGTTACCGTTTAAGCAAAATTCTTGAAGCCCAAGGAGAGAACAGAATCTATTGAAAACAGTTGAAACTGAAAGCAAACTTAAGTGTTACAAATTTATGCATATCCAGAAAAGGTCACTGCTAATTAATCATGCTTAATTATTCAGAAGAAGGAAATATGGTCTCACATTTGCCCCATCAGATTTATTTTCTGATTAGCAAAGAAGTAAAATCATCTGAACCAGCTAATAAAGTCATCCAGGAAGTTGACCTCATTTCCAATATTAGAATAAATGCTTTACCGACAAAAGAGGTGAGTTCATAGGAAGCTTATGGCAAGTTTTGTTTCCCTAAGTGTTCAAAGCTTTGTTTTTCTTTTTCTAAAAGCACAAAAGAAGTGATGTCTTAGTGGTTAAATCAAAACTTCCATCATTAACCTCTAAATATTTTTAGCAAATTAGGAACGTTGGCGTCAAGCCTGCTGGCTGTGCTTGCCTATGGTCAGAGGAAGATCCTTTAAAGGACATAGGTCTAACTGGTGGACCTTTTAAGTGCATATGTTAATTTGACACATGGGTAAAGGAGGAATTTCATATCAACTTGCTAATAGAGCTGTTGAGATCTGGAGAGAATATTGTAATAATGTGATAATACTGCTCACTGAGCATCTGGTAGCGTAATGAGATTTCACCCTATATTCTTCTCTGCAACAGGGGGATCTTATGTTCTTCAAAAGTTGTTGGCTCAATTTTGCATCTAGTCAGGTCAGGTGAATTTTTCCATGTCAAGTAGATATAGGTATGTAAAGGAGAACATGACCTCAAATGCTGTGTTAAATGGAGAAAAGTCACAGCTACCACATCCAGACTAGTAGTGCATTGTAGGTCTCCCTACGATTAAAACTAAGGCTATTTTATAATCAAGGGATCATTAAGAAAATACGTGTTTGCACACAGCCATTATTCACTAGATATCCACAGGTCAAACCTGGAATTTAGGTAGTAGTCACATTAAAAAAAAAAAAAAAATCAGCGGTAATTTTTATTGCCTTATCTATAAAGGCAAAAGGATAATAAAGGATGACACAATTCAAACTTAATAAGAAACAGCAGCTTTTAAAGTGTCTGCACTAAGTGGAGTGGAACATGTTCCAGCCCTTTCTCTGAATTCCAGCATTAGAATTCTGTACTTCTGCTAGTTTTTCCTACTGTGCAAGTCTCTTGTAGAGCTCTGCTGATAACCTTGGTCAGCTAATTCTGTTCGGAGATTGTAATGCATTATATCACATTCTGTATGACAGGAAAGGGAACTTCCCCTTTAACGATACACATTGCTATGTAAGAATTTCTGGGGGTGGAGTCACTGCTTGAGCAGGCTGCATAAAATCCTGTGCAGGATTTCCAGCTGCCTCAGACTGCAATCAGCATGAACTGCAGCCTGCCACACCGAGTGCTGCTCAGCTCTCCGATGGAGGGACAGCGGGACAGGTTGTGCCTGCAGTCTCTTTGGGACTTTGTCACTGCAAAGGAGCCATTGATCAAGTCACCGTTTTTCCCAGTGCTGTTTTCTTTTACAGCATACATGGCTTTCTGTCTTCCATATATTGCACTGGACTTTTTAAGCATTAGACTACCAGACTTGAGAAAATACAAAATCCAGCCGCAGAACTATCCAAGTCTTGGAATGATGGTGCCTTGCATTATTCAAAGTGTATATCACCATGTCGTCTTGATCTTCCCGGTGACATTTCTACACTGGTACTGGAGACCCATGAAGCTGCCAGTGACAGCTCCAGAGCTGCCTGAAGTCCTGCTGCAAGTAGCAGTTTGTCTGCTGCTGTTTGATTTTGAGTACTTCCTGTGGCATTTGCTGCATCACAAGGTGCCTTGGCTCTACAAGACGTTCCACAAGGTGCATCACAAGCACGTGTCGACGTTCGCCCTTACTACACAGTATTCCAGCGTATGGGAGTTGCTGTCACTGGGATTTTTTGCTGCTATAAACCCACTGCTCCTCGGATGCCATCCTTTGACAGAAATGATTTTCTTCCTTGTAAACATTGGTTTGTCAGTGGAGGACCATTCTGGATATGACCTCCCATGGTCAACTCACCGACTTGTGCCTTTTGGATTGTACGGAGGAGCACCACATCATGATCTCCACCATCTGAAATTCAAATCGAACTATGCTCCTTACTTCACACACTGGTACAAACTCTTTGGCACATTCATGGAGTCACATTCTAATTAAGAATATTTGCCTGTGGATGAACTCTTTTATAGACTAAACTGGGACATTATTTTTTTAAAGACATACAGAAGATTGTATATTTGAAGCTGCCTATAAAAGCAATAGCTATTTATAACAAATCCTCTTAATATATGTGTATTTGTGTGTGTACTTGGAACTGCCTGTGTTAAGGGACTGCAAATGGGAAAGTGAATATCTGTTGCTTAAATTTGAGTGAAAGGTTTAAGGGAAGCATTAAGAGACATTCTCTCTCCTTTCCTTCTTTCCAGCTTTCATAAAGCATGTATCATGTTGCTGTATGACGTTTTATACATGCGCCACAACATTATCTTACTGTTGTAGGATGATTTATGATGTAAACAGAAAAGGTACACATCATGGATTTTGTGGAGTTTAATCTGCCAAAGAAAATTGTTGCGCAATGATTTTGTAAAATATTGCTGCCAAGTCAGGGTGGTTGGATAACTGTTAAATGATTTTGATATTTATATTTTTTACCTTGATATGCTGTCTCTTTTTAATAGAGAATAAATATGTTCATTCTTTTAAAATTGTATTATATTTCACTTCATTCATTCCTCTGTTCATATTAGGAACAGATATGGTTCCTTTTGCATAGGTGTCATTAATTTGAATTATAGAATCATATAACTGTTTAGGTTGGAAAAGATGTCTAAGATAGAGTCCAACCATTACCCTAACACTGCCAAGTTCACCACTAAAACCTGTCCCTGAGTGCCACATTTACACATCTTTTAAATACCTCCAGGGATGGTGAGTCAGTCACTTCCCTGGACAGCCTATTCCTGTGCTTGGCAACCCTCAGTGAAGAACATTTTCCTAATATCCAATCTTAACTTGCCCTGCCACAGCTTGAGGCTATTTCCTCTTATCTTTTCCCTTGTTACCTGGGAAAAAGAGACTGACATCCATTTTCATTTCAGAGTTTTGCAGACTTTTATTATTAAAATATTGTAATATTATTTCAAAAGTGAATAATTTACTTTTTCTCCAGAGTATTTATTTTAGTCTCCAGAGTATTTATTTTAAAATAGTTTACAATTTTGTAGAAACATAATATTGAAGAATGGAGTTTAAAAAGTCATAGTGAAATTTTATCATTATATTTTTGAGAAGCTTGAACAATTTTTACTAAGCAGCCCCTTAAACGAGAGTATTTGTCCTTGACAATCCTATCAATTAATTGTTACTTGCATGCAAAACCTTGTCAAGGAATATAAACAGAATTTCTACAAAGTAGATGGTTCTTTAAAGCAGATTTCAGGGAAATAGACTCAAACCTTTGGGATCCTAAGATAGAACAAAATGTCTATGCATTGCTAGAACAGTTACATAGAGAAGATCAAAATGTATCTCACAGAAGTCACACGGAAAAAAATAGGCTTGAAGAGATAAGCAAGGCTTTGATGTCTCATTCAGCAGAGATCCACACAGATGTCTAATGTCCACTACAAAACATTTTAATGCTGGTAATCATCAATCCTGTATTGCTAATAAATTTCCCAGGATAATGATGGAAACAGAGAAAGCACAAATAATGTAGGAAGTGTGGAAAGAACACTTAAACATCATCATCCAAAAGTCTCTTTGTCCTTATGTCTAGAGGGTTGTGTGGCCTTACAGAGGCTGTTTGTCCAGTAGAAGAGAGAACCCTTAGTATCTCCAATGACATGAATTTATGAAGGGAGCAGCGCTTTGACACACTCTGTCTTTTTGATAACAGGAAATAATTTTCATAAACATCTTCATAAACAGTACAAAATGCTGCAATCTCAGTAATTAAATACCCTCTCTGCTTTCTGGATATCACAGAAGAGCAACCCTTCTTTTCTTTGTTAAGAACATGATGCATATTAAGACCAAAAACTGAGGCTTGAGATAATACTGGAATCTGCCATTCATCTATTAAGCTGTGAGAAAGAATCCCCAGTCTTTCTGAAGGTTGTAATCTTAGGTATCTTGGTGTGTTCTAGAAAGAGAGGGAAATATTCTTTCTTTTCTGCCGAATGCAAGAGGCAAAAATAATTTTCTGATTTCTTTGAACTGTTTAGCCATTTTGAGATATCCCAAAGTTATCCTTTCTGTTCTAGAAATTGCACTTAATTCAGCTTGGCAAATTCTGAGCATCTGGCAAAGATAATCTGTGGTTTCAAGGAGTTATACCTTACACTGTATTTTGTAACTGTACACTACAACAGTCTGTTTCATGTACAATTGGCTCTCTGACTAAGCAAGGGTAAAGGCTAACTGGTACTTGCATAGGACAGCTACAGGTTGCCGTAGGAAGCCTATGAGCAAAACCCACAAGAAAGGTTGTAACTAAACTCATGGGGATTATTCTGCTTTTTTGTATGAAGCTTAAGAGTAGATACAGTACTTTACTCTCCTGGAGAGAGTTCTAGTCAGCTGCAGGCAAAACTATTCTTGCTGTTGTCAAGAGAGATGATTGTCTGATTTGGCATTGACAACGTAGCCTGACACCCACTGAGGATGATCAAACTGGTGATGGAAGGAGGCAATGTGCTGCACAATGATCCTGCCTACTCCTCACATCCTCAACATTTGCATCACTACAGACACACACACCAAGAATGTGTTTCCACAAACATGGAATTTCCCCCAGGTTATATCTGTATCTAATCTGTAGCCAATCAGACCTGGAAGCTCAGTTTAAAGTCTCGTTATTGCAAGAACTTGGAATACTCAAAAAAAAAAAAAGAAAGTTGTTAAATGAATATTTGACTAATACATGTCTGGAATGGCTTTTTTGAATCCCATACTAGAAATATCTGTATTTCATCCTCATGATGTAATCCTCTTTCCCTATTTCTCCAAAGCTTTTTAATGTAACTTAGGTTCTAAACTCGGAGGGGTTGAACCCATTTGCATCTTGTGTGTACTTTGAAGTGCTTTCTGTAGCAGTTTGATTTAATCTAAGTTTAGTTGTGCATGTGAGAAAAACTCATGAGCAGAAGACCCAAACAAACACATAACTGCAGGCCTTTGCAATTCAATGAAAACATATACTGGTGATAAAGCAAATAAGGGTTGGGGTTTTTTTCCTGTTTTCATTGAAAGCTCAGCATATACTGTGCCACTGAGCATGAGAGGACAGTAAGTTCTGTGTATTGATAGTGGTGAGATTTTAAAACAGGATTTTATAGATGTTACTTCCTATATTTGCATTTCCCCATGGTCTTTACCGCAAATCTTTGCCAGACAAAAGGAAAGGCATGACACTCACTTGTAAGGGTTTATGTAAGAAAACCAAACACAACTTTCCCTCTTCCAAAATTCTGCTACCTTCCTTCCTCTTTATAACGTGACTAGCTGTTCCACACAGACTTCCTATCTAATCTGCTGAAAGCTAAACTGTGGTCATTTGTGAGTAAATAGAAGATGTTTGCAGACAAGCTATTTGAAGCTATACAATAATTTTTTTTTTTGTGCTGCTATTGTCCACTTTATATCTTCAAAATTTAATAAAGCTCGAAGAAATAAGATTTTATGCATTTCTCTATCTTAATTCTTAGGCAAAAACAAAATATTGAGCTCTTTGTCTGCTCTTGTGAATTGCAGGAGTTCCCAAATTCTCACTGGCAATTTAGTCCTATACTTCTCTTGAAATGTAGGGGGAGTCTTTCAAACAATACCCAGCCTGGCAATTTCAAGAGTATACTGCTGCAAAAGGACAGGTTTCTTCCTAGTGGCTGTGTTTTCAGTGCTGCTGTAAAGTGCACTTTTTCCTCATGTGCTCTGGAGTCAGCATAGGATGCTCAGAGCAATGCTGAGTCAATATTCAGTGCTGGAAAAGACTTGGTCCTCCCTCATGTTGATCAAGTGCAAGCACTTCACAGGGGAAAACCTAAACAGTTCTGTCTATAACTATGATTTCTTATGATTTATTATTATGAAGATAATCTGCATCAATAATGTATTTTTGACTTGGTTAATCTAGTGTGTTATCAGGATTAAATTAAAAACTAGAATTTCTTTGGGTAGTGCTGTCTCTAAATTCGTTTTGAAGCAATTTTTGATGACAGAACACTTGTCATCTGTTGCCTCTCAATATCATTGTAAGGAATGAAGCACTCTCATGTGGCTTTATCTTAGTGGCCTCAGCAGTCACTTCAGTTTCTCTTATTCTTGTTTTCATGCACAACTATTAGGCTTCCACTATTACCTGCCCAAATCTATGCAACCCTTTTTGAACAGGAATAATTTTTGAATGGATCTGTATCTGAAAAAATCATCTGTCTTGGACTCTCAAAAAATACAAACTCTCACTGGATTTATTCAGATTTCCTCAGGGGAGAGGCTGACTGGAGTGTGAAACAACCATCGGATTTACATGTAAACCACGTCAAAGCCCTGGCTTTGCATGCTCAAATGTTGACACTGATCCTGCATTGCTCGGTACAATCCAACCTGAAAGGTCTTTGTAGCACAGGCTGGAGCTGGGTTTGCAGCATGGTTTTCTTGTAAAAGCAACTGCCAAACAATTGTTTTCCAAAACTTAAATGTGTTTCTAATTTAGGGAAATTTGAAGTTGTTTACTGAAAAAAAGTCCCATACTCTCTCTCAAACTAACCAGCATAAGCATTCCAGGCTTTAAAGGGAACAGAACCAATGCAGAGGGCCCTTTAGCTGTGGAAAATGATGCTGAGATTTTAATCCTTCTTTTCAAACTGTTTTCTTCTCAAGGAAAAGATTTTAAAAGCTTACTAATCATGTCGTCTCCCAGTCTGGAATGATTGCTGTGATCGAGGCTATAGGTGTGCACAGGGGAAGGAGAGAAAGGAGGATGGGAAGGCACTTTTATTTCTGTCCCTTGGTGCAGTGTGCAGTGCTGTCAGGTATGGATTGAGTGTTGCACTGATATCTCCTTCCCACCAGAGCACAGATGGCTTCAACCCTCAGGTTCTTACTGCTGGAATGGTTCAGACTCCATATCCAGGCACAGCCTTTTCTTATTGTTATCTCTTTCTTTCTGGGAATTCCCACAGCAGCAAAACACTGTGACCTGCAAGAGGGAGCTCCATCTTTGGACAGCTTAAAGCAAATATATTTTTGTGTCACTAAGCATAAGACTAAGTTAAAAATATCTACAGGCACATGATCTGGAGCGCCTCTTCCATGCTCAGATTTGAGATAGCAGGTTTTACTTGTGGAAAATAAAAAAACTAACAATCCAAAGCGGGTGGTTAGTACGCCAGGAAGGCAGAAACTGACTGCTTGGGTTTCAGTCTATTGAAAGAGACTTCAATACTACAGATATGTGATTTTAAGGGATGGGAAATACAGGGCTACCTGTGCTTCCAGGGAGAATTTAGATGGCACATATTTTTATTTGTCCTCAGAACTAAGCAGCAAACAATTCAGGGAATTAAGTAGTCCAAAATCTAGGATAAGCCACAGAAAAACTGTTTTTAAGATGAAAAAGATGCACCCTGTTTATCAAAAGAATATGAAAAAGCACTGCTAGAAATTTTGTTGGTGTCTCTTTACACACCTTTTCAGCCATTCATAGCAGCTGTGAAAAATTACACCCCTAAGAAGCAACACACATGGGTAATTTCCTTTAAATAGCTCCTTTAAGGGATTTATTTACAAAACTTCCGGAACTAGTCTAAATAGCTGAGACAGTGGAATTTGTCAAGCTCTCTAGACAAATGAACTTGGGAAATGGAATGATTTAAAACTGCACAGGCAGCTCCCCTGACACTTGCAACTTACAAAACCTGTAAGATCAGAAGTGCCCTTCTCAGCTGAGCTTATAGAAAAATACCCACCAGCTGCCTTCCCCTCTGTTTTTATCCCCACAATCTCCACTGGTGTTCTCCTTCCCTGGTAATGACAAAATACTCTCCTGAGCAGCTGCTGACAACCTCCCCTTGTCCTCCAGGGAAATGCTGAATCCTGCCAGCTGCTTTGCCAGGTTTGCCATGTTTTTTATCCCTTGGGCACTTGGATGATCACTCCCAGGTGCACTTGGGAATCCATTGCATGCACAAGTCCTGCAGCAAATGCAGGCTTACCCCTCACAACCTGTCCTGAAAACCATGTCTGAGGCCAAGCTCTTGGTCTGGCCCGTTTCTATTCAGCTCCAGGCAGGCTGGCAAGTGTTTACTCTCAAAGTCTTTCCCCTGGGGGTGGGAGAACCTCAGCCTCCCCACTTGTCTCTGTAGAGCCTATTTGAGCTCAGCTCAGAGGAGTAGGAGAGATTTTTCTGTTCTCTAGTCCAGGGAGGTCTTGCTTTGGCTCCTTGTGCTCCCTGAAGTGACCTGAACTCAGGCTGGGCTCTGCCGCTGTGGTGGTGAGGAAGCTCGAGGCCTGCTGAGGCCTCCTGGGTGGGTGTGAGTGGAGGCCCGGGGCTGTGGTGGGGAGGCCGGGCACACAGGGAGCCGTGTGAGGGGAAGGTGCTCCGGCAGGGCCGTGCACACACAGCTGCAGGGTGTCTGCAGCCTTTGAGGGTGTTGGGTTTTCTGGTCAGCAGCAATTCTGCTGCCATCAGGTGTAACCTGAAGTTGGAGCTTCAGGAAAGTTAGTAATGGCTTATGAGCTTCGGTACTACAGTGGTGAGGAGAGCAAAAGATTATGTAATTGTTCTGTGGGTTTAATTGTTTCCAGTGTCCTTTCACTGCTCCATGGCTCATCACTGATTCAGCTTGTCTGATGCTTCTTGTGACTCACCTGTGGGAAATCGCTTTTCCGGTTTATGACATCTCCACTTCATTTTATCTACCTGGCCTATTTCCTAAACCAGAAAGCTGAAGCAAAATCACTAGCTTGGACCTTGCAACTGGCAAGTGGGTAACAAGTCTATGTAGCAGCACTCTGTGGCAGTACCATGACCGAGAGTTTACTATTTTATTTGCTTTATTACAAATCCTGATGCTGCGCTCCTAACTGACCTCCACTTCCCACCCTGTTAAACCTGGGCTCTGTGCCTACTGCTCTACGTCCTTTTCTTTCTGGAGATTAATTGCATAGTTTAGCCAATATGCTGTATGCTTTTTTTCCCTCCTCTTTTTGTGACTCAGATTTGTATCTTGAGTAATTGAACCATTTTTCAGAAGAAGGAATTTCATTTCCCTCTGCACTTGGCACAGCTTGCAGAAGAGCACTGTTAAACTCTGAAAGCTATGGACAGAAAACAAAAGAGCAGAGCATGTAAAATGTGGAAAGGCACATGCACTCAGCCATAGCAGCACAACAAGCTGATTCTCTGTTTTATTTCCTTTGTCTATTGAACTTCAGCTTACTGCTTCGCTGCTTTTCTTTTAGACCCCTTAATCATAGGGTAGCGGGATAAATTAGTGCTCATGTACTGGCGTCAGTCCTGTTTCTAGATGTTAGCCATCTTGCTAGATCCTTGAATTTGTGCTAACTGCAAATATTATTACTATTATTTATTTATAGTATTATTTTGAAACTCTGACAAAAATCTAGATGCTATATAAATAGAGGAAAAAAATCTATCTCCCAAGAGGCTAAAGTGGACCTTTAGACATTCTGCGTTCAGAAGTTACTTAGTCCTGGTAGCTAGAGTGAAGCTTTAAATCAAGACTGAAGAAATCTATAATGTGTATTTTGTGGAAACTGCATTTACTTCTTTGTTAGAGGAATTTAATCAAAGCTTTCTCATTACAGACATCTAAGTTTGACTTGGCAGTAACTGGTCCTTTCAGAAACCTGAAAAGCTGATGTGTGTCTGTTACCTACAAAGCATTAATACTTAAACAAAACAATGGGGCTTATTTATTTATTTCCTAGAACTGTTATTACAAATCTTGATTATTTAATGTAGATGTAACACCTACTAAGCTCCTAATTGGCTGTGTCAAGGAGCAGGAGAAGTTTGTTTTGCTTCTGACAATGTACATGAAATCCACTGTTGTAAGAGATTTCTATTATGGTGTTACAGCTCTATCCTTAAGGTACTTCTGCCTTTTAAGGTAAAAATTCCAGACAGTGGCGTAAGGAAAACAGCAGGATTCAAATTTGGACTTAAGTCATACCAAGGTAGATGGTATCTGTCCAACTACCTTTGACAGTGGCTTTCAGGGTACACCTGCATTTTCGTTCTGCTTGAGTGGGACTTCCAGGGTGAGATTGATAGAAATGGATGTGTGGCACTTCTGGTGATTGTCCAGCTCATAATACTGCACATATATTTCCATTTTATTTCTCTATGCAAACATAAACATATGAATATTATTTTTTAATATACATGTGAATTCCCCATTACTTTTATCTTTTGGTATTTACATATATGTTAGAAACTAGGGCATACAAAGTGTTCTGCAATGTGGTGTAAGAAAGCTGGAGATGACATCAAACCATAGCCATGGGTGGTAGTTAGAGACAGACATCTGCAGAAAGGACCATGAGGGAGCAGTGATGGGGAGATACAGGCATGCATGCTCACTCTGAGGAGAAACCTAAGGGTTCTCCCCCCAGGTAAAAAACTGCTGCCAGAGAACAAGACAGCTGAAACTTGTGTGGTAGTGAGAGTGTCGTTTTTCACTCAGTTTCAGAAGGAAACAAGTTACGCAACCGCAGCTTATGTCAGAGTCTTCCAGTAATTTGTTGGCTTGTTACACAACTCAGCACAATTGGACAGACCAGGAGAGGTCCCAAGATATTAAGTGCTCTCACATTTTGTGGAAATCACTAGCTGGGCAGAAGCGGGAGGTATTTGCACCATTTTGACTGTTTAGGGGAGGAAGTGACCGCGGTTCACTCTGTGTGAAAGCAGTGTGCCAGCCCTGCACAAACATGCACTGCAGCCTGTACTGTCTGTTCCTCAGCTTAAGGCCAAGCAAGATACAAGAGAGATGTTCTGGGAATCTGTGTGTGGGGTGAGCTCTGGGGACTTGGGACAGGAATGAGGATTTTGTGGGACAATAAGCCTGGAGGGTAGCCGGAGATACTGCTGCATCAAGGAGGACCTGGCAGAAATTCTGTGGTTTTTGTGGTTGTAGTGTTTAACTCACAAAGTCAATAATGCACAGGAAACAAGGATTTAAAGCTCACAAGCAGTTTCTTTGATTTGAACCACGCCCCTTATTTTTCACTGAAAAGAGTGACAAAATCAAGAGCCGCTTGATGATCCCCAGTGAGCAGTTCTGCAGAAGAGACCTTATGACAACCTCATCAGTGTCACACTTCTTCACAGGAAGGTGAACTCCAGGGCTATGACTCCTACTTGTGAAAAGGCAGAGCAGCTCTATGTCAATGCTGTAGGAGAGGCAGTGGTGGCAGACTGATCACAGGGAAAAGTGAGTGGTAGGAAGCATGGAATGAATCCTAGGAGGTGGCTTCAGAGCCCACACTACCTTACTACTGATCATTGTAGACAATGAAGCTTCCCCACAGAATGTCAGCAGTTCTAAGTGAAGGTACATGAATCATGTGATTTAATTGCATGGATGTTTAGCTTTCTGTGGTTTTAATAATCTCTTACCAAAAAGCTGTTTCTCATATCATTATTTTATATCTTTCTCCTAGTGCAAAGGATTAAAAATCCTTTGTAATTTTGCTAGTTTAGATGTTTTTAAGACATAAGATTGCATGATAATAATGTAAGCTGATATAAATTTTGGGAGTAGAGACAGTATCAAATTAAGTAATCTTTTGCAAGAAGAAATGTACTCCACATTAACTGGATATGAAATCAATGGGAAGAATTTCCTTAGAAATTGCAAATTTCTTTTTTGTGTCTTTGAAAATTACCAGCCCTCACCTCATTCAGCTCAGCACTCCCAGTTTTGCATCTCCACCTGCAGAAACCCTTGCACAGGGTGGTTCCAGTGCTTTCCCAATACTCCCTTTCCCCTTCTCATGTTTCTACATTTCTAGTACTTTCTCAGAGGGGGAACAAATTCTGTAGTGTATCTGGAAACGAAAGCTCCAGCTGTTTCTCTTTCTTCTATTTTTTTTTTTTTTTTTCTTTTAAAATATAGTTTCTCTCTCACATTTTGGTATCATCTTGACCAAGTGACAGCTGGCTAAAGCATTGTGTTACTGATTCCAGAAATGTCTTCTGGAGATTGGTTGGGACAAGCTGTGCTGACTTTGAGCAATACTCTGAAAGCATTCCGCACTGCCCGCAGGTATCGCATTGATCTGAGTCATGCCATCCTGGCTCATACAAGTGGTTTTGCATCTGGAATAGAAGGTTTTGGGGGTTCCCCCCCAACGTTTTGAGTAGGCCCTAATCCTTTCCGCCAGGTAGAAGCTTGGTTTTGGCTTGCAGCATGTCAAGATGAAGTTTAAACCCCCACTTTAAGAAAAAGGAAGTGCTGATGAAGACTTCAGCAATGTTTCCCGTGAGCCAAAATGAACAACTGAATCTGGAAGGGTGGGGGAAAAGCTTACTCAAAAATACAAGGATCTAAAATGTTTGCTGGGGTTTTCTCAACTTGGTAATGCAAAAGGGGAATAACAGTCTTTGAACACAGAGAGAGCAGAATTTTTCTTGTGGCAATGTGGGAGTTTCCTGTTCACGTGAAGTCGTGGGTTAGACCTCAAGCAGCATTAAAAAGGTAGTAGAGCAAAATCTGTGGAAATAACTACTGCAGAAACTGGCTGAAGTTAACTATCTCTGCAGCAAGGAGAATCCCTCTCTATTGAATATTGATATTTTTGTACTTATAGTTCCTTTTCTCTTGCATGTTTTTCCTCCCTAACCTGCATTTTCTCCTGATGCCATGTCACTCTGCAATACTAATTTTACCTCCAAAAGTTTTCTGGTTCTTGGTCAACTTTACTCTCAGACCTCCTTTTGAGGAAATGAAAACTGAGAGGAGTCAGAAATGATGTTAGTTCACAACTCTTCTAATCACACATTGAGGAAAAAAGACAATGTCTGTCAAAGCCTTTCATCTCTCATGATTTTGGGAATCCTATTGTTAGCCACTGTCACTCTTCTTTGAAAAAAAAAAAGGCTCAATCATGAATTTATACTTTTTTAAATTTTTGGATATAACATTTTGGAACTTTTTTCCAGAAAATAGGGATAATTTAAATATTTTCTTGGAGATAGGCACAACTGTAACCAGTTCCAAACTTTACTTTGCCTGCTAGGTGATTAGACTTTGTTTGATTGAAAATGTTAATTAGTGATTTGCCAAGAAGCAAAGAGCAACACAGATGCTTAATCTTCACCAGAGATTTGTACAGAATGTGTTCAGCTGGTACTGTCTTCATCTCTTTTACTTTATAGGATGCAGGCTGGCCAAGGTGGGAAAGAAAGGTGGGAAAGCTTTGAAGAGGCCTGAGCAATGCTAATGATGTGATAGCCCAGGAGTGCAATGAAGAATGTTCCTACTTGTGTACGAAAAGTAAGTGGTGCAAACAAAAGACTGAGGAGAAAGAAACTCCCAAGTGTTTCCCCTAGTGATGGACCTGCTTTCTGACTAGACAGTGAAGCTGCAAATTTATCACAAAATGTGCCTAGCATCCACTGTGCCCTCTTTCTGTAAGTGTTACAGAAATAGACAACCAGTCTTCTTGCTCCTTTCCTGGTCAGGTGAGCTGAAGACTGAGTAATTAAAACTGCTCAGTACTGGGATGTATCAGCTTAGTGGCATGCAAATAATCCTCAAGGAATTAGATAAACTACATTTGTCTAATATAAGAATTTAGATTAAATTACATTTATCTAAAGCTCATTCTGAAAATGAAATTTCGGAAAATTCTGGAAACAGAAAGTGAAAACAGACACTGTGATTTAATTGGGGTGCAAAGCTCTGGGACTTTATTTCAAAAGCACTTGTTCAAATGAGTAAAATTCAGTACTTTCTGGGTTTTGTTTCGATTTTTCTTTTTCACCACCTCTATAGTTTTAATCTTACTGCAGCCTGTATACCATCATCCATACCACCTCCATATCTCTCCCAATGAGGAGTTCCACAGCCTGGCATTGCTCTCACGCCCCTGCTCTCCACTTCTGCTGCTCGCACCTCGAGCTCGGGAGCCGGCGGTGGCCGCAGGGAGCAGTGTCACAGCCCGAGGAGCTGGCACTGGGGACAGACTCCGGGCACGGTGCTCTGCTGTCCCCACTGCCCCCGCAGGGGCACATCCTTGGTCCGCTCTCCCAGCGAGCGCGTGGGGAAGGTGCCCAGATGTGCAGAGCTGTCTGGAAACAGCTGCACGCAGCCTAACACTAAGAATGGGAGCTTTCTGTGACGCTAGTGGCCTCACTTGGAAAAACAGTCGTATGGAATCAAGCCAAGAGGGATATTTTAAGTTCCGTTTTTAAGAAGGAATGTTGCATGATCTCTTTCTTGACGTTTGAAATTTTTATATTAATTCAAAGTTCTAAATTTAGTTTGAAAACAAAATTAAAAGCATGTGATTTTGAAAAATGGAAATGAATCGTATGTAATTGTTGCTTTTAAAATTTGATCTTTCCCTCAAGTGGAAATAATCGAAATTTCCAAATAGTTTTTAATAGTCCAAATATACATCTTTTCAACAAAAATTTAGTTTTATTCTGAAGAAAATTGTCTAGCTTCTATGTGATCATTTAATGCATGACATCATCTCTGAAGGATATGTTCTTGTATTTCAATTAAAAAAAAGTGTTTTCCTTTGTTTCTTTACATGTCTTAACTCTGACTTACCTTTTGGTATTGTATAACAACTAGCAATGCACACAAAACATCTATTTTTTGCATATTATTATGCATACTTCATCTAAACCTCATAAGCTCTTCCTAGTTGCACTACTGATGGCGTCTATTATTGTTTATTGGGTATTTTAATATTTTAATTTACTTGAATGGATGATTTGATGTCAGGAGGGAATGAAGAATGCAGTGGACTTTGAAGGTGCTGTACAAATTCTGTACACTGAATTTACATAAAGCAGATGCTGACAATAATGGCATTTCTGCTACTGGGCCCTCATTCTACTTGAGACATATTTTGGCTTTGTGGATTATCTGGAAGCAAAGCCTGTAAATGCAGCTTCTGTTTTCTAACAGTGTGAGTAAAACCCTGCATCTCACCACTCCTGGAAGCAGTTGGCAGTTCTGCAGCTTGCAGCTGAATCATCCCTGTGTGTTTACTTTATTGACACTCTGAGGTTTCTTCACCCTAATTGCTGTGGGTTATTTCATACCCCATAATTATTTTGCCACATACAAAGCAATTTAATTTCTGCTTGCTTAAATGGCTTAAATCCTGTTCTGATTTCATGTCTTCTAACTTGACAGGAGTCATAACCATGGGTGCTAGATCCTATAGAAAATATCACATGTAATTCAGAACTGGGCTAATTATTAGTTCTTTATTGAAGAGGTCACTAAAGCTTGTATGAGTGTGGGCTACAAAGCTCTTTTGTTGAACTCTGTTCTTTGCTGAAGGCCAGTGTAATCCCTAATTGTGTATCCCACAAACAAGAATGAGACTGAGCAAAGAATCCTTCAAGAACATGCTGGGCAGGGCTCGATTAAAGAGATGTAGGACTTCAGCCTGTTGGAAAGGGGCTGAAGTGGAGGGTGGCCTGTATTTCAAAGGACTTAAAAGTCATGTGGAGTTGAGCAGCCAGGGACACTGCTTTCTGCAAAAAACACAGCCAGAAACAGAGCTGAGACTCCTAATGGTGATCTGCAAGTTTAAAAGATGTTTTGAATGTTACACTGAAGGAAGACAGTGTGTTCTGGCATCATTGTCTTTTATTTTATTTACAAACAAAAATACCCTAGCCTAAAAATAAAAGAAAGGGAGGGGGGAAAAAAACCCAACAAGCTTCTGTGAAGGCAAATTGAATAGCTTTAGATATTACTGTTTTCTTTAAAGAGGAAAGAGACAAATTCCTTTTTTAGTTGAGAAACCAACTGAACCATGGTGAAGTGGAGCTGAAAGAAATAAGGAACAGGGAGAAGAAATGAGCACAGTGCAGAGGAAAAGAGGCTGGAATAGCAGGGCTGTCAGATGTGATTTATGAGGGAGGAAGATGGTTTAAGGTGAGCTGCTGGATCCCCAGAGGGGCTGGTGAGGAGGCTTGTAACATTTCATTAGAATCGCTTATTGCTAAATTTCTGGAGACAAACTTGTCTTTATGACATGGATGCCCACAAGGAGGAAAATGAAAGTATATTGCAACAGTGAGTAATTTTTGAGTGCTTATAGAAGCATTTTCTCACTTAAGGGTTAGAGATGCATTCCCTACCAATTCAGCTTAATTAGAAACATTCCTCTTATATATGAAAAATTTAAAGGAGGATAAGTTGTTAAATAAAATACATCAGCACCATCATCTTATTTGTCCTCTCTGTTAAAAACTCTAAGTTCCTTGCCACTGTAAAACTCTGACTTATTGCTTCCTGGAGAAAATTTTGATAATTTTCTATATACATTTTATAAGAAATATGGCTTTTTTATGGCTCCACTGTAATGTATTGTACCGTAAATCATTGTTGGACAGCAGTAGATCTCTGATTGGACCTGACACAAGGCCCAGATGTGCCAGTATCTTCCCAAAAGAAGCAATAGAAGACTGTAAGTTTTCCACTGTACTCTGCTTTTGAGATGAACTTAGAAATAATGACAAGGAAAAACAACATATTACTGATAATAAGTATGAGATGACTCATTTCCCAAACATTGATAGACACTGGCTAATAACAAGCCTACCAGCAGGACCAGGAAATTAACTGACTTCATTGGGTCAACTGGCTTACAACATTCCTGCTGATATTCAAACAGTGATATAAAATATAAATAGCCAGAGGTTTCTATGGAAAGAGAAAAAATTCTACTGTTCTCGCTCTCTCCTTAGATTCTTTCCATCCTCACCCAAAGTCCAGCTCTCAACCTACTGTCTTTATGTGTTGACTTTAAATACTTCATTTTTTAACAATTAGAACAGCACTTCAGTGTGTGTTACAGATACACAGATACATATCTGTGAAAGTGGATTGGGATGTTCTCTTTATGGGCTTCTGAAAATCTAGGTCAGAGTGTATTCAAATTCTGACTGATGTAATCACTTCTGGTGGCAGAAAGTCTAATAAAGCAAAGCTATTTGTACTTGAATGTCAACTCAAATGCTTCCCATACTGAGGGTTTTTATCTCCTTTCTTCATGAACAGCACAGATAATGATGAAGTCTGTGACACAATGTCTTCATTGTACAAATGGCTCTTGGCACTTTGTCTTTTCATTCTTGCACACAGATGAAAAGGCTGCTCAGCTTTCCAGCAGAGAGAGAACTGCATCTTGCCAAAGATGCAGAGAAAGCAGAAGGGTGGAGGCCAAAATGTGTGTGTATGGTGGAGGTCCCTTTGATTATGGCACTGTGAACATCCATGAGGAGTGTTCAGCCTGGTTAATGACACCTTCTGTTTCAGTTGCTACAAACATTTGACTTCAGCTATGGCCCTGAAACCCATCAGCTCTCTGAGGCTGGCACAGAGATGGGAGTTCCCTGAGGTCTATGAGTGCTGTTTGAAACTAGCTCTGCTGTGAGCAGAGGCCTGGACTAGGCGATCTCTACAATTTCCTGCCAGCATGCAGAATTACATGGTTTCCTCTGTTTCCATAGGGGCCTGAGGCAGCCAAGGTAATGATGCTTGTGGCAGGGACTGTCACTCCCTGAGGGAGATAGGTGGCTTCTGAATTGTCTCCAGTTCTCTGCTACCCTGTATTTTTCACCCTTACCTGTGCTCAGCCTTTGCAATTGGAAGAGGAACAATGAACCCCAGCAGGGCCCTCTCCCAAGTACAGAGACTTTTTCATTACTTTCTGCTAGCAGGGAGATGAAATTTTTAACCTTGACTTAGCTCTTCATGAACTTAGAAAACTGGCAGGGGGTCCTCCCCAACAGGAGCCCTGCCCCCCTTCTCCCCATTCCCATCACAGTGTGGTGTGGTGGCATCACTCTTCCTTCTCTTTGGAGACATTCTTGAAATGGGCTATTGCCGGTTCCCTTCCCTCAGTGTCTGCTGTGAGGTCTCTGACCCTTTGAACTTGCTGCAGTCTGTCAGCAGAGTGTGGGTAGGACAGTGAGCACAGTCGTCTCAACAGGAAAGTTGTTGTTCATGGCTTCCTGGGAAGCCATGAATCACTTTCTGGGGCTGCTGTCATGATTCCCTTCCTCACCACAAACACCAGGGATCCAGACACCCACTCAGCCAGGAAGGGACCTTCTTAGAAGCTGGGGTGCATCAGTACAGAGTTCTGCTCCAAGTCCCCAGCTGCCCAGGGAGCTTGGTCACAGCTTTGGCTGCGTCTGTGAGATGGGTGGGAGTGGAGCTGAGTGTTGGGAATGCTAGGAACATCCTCTTCAGGGGCACTGAGCTGGAAGGAGAGCAGCTGTGAAATCTGTGCTGTG